AGAGAAGAGCCGCCCGCGACGAGGCTGCGGACCCTACGGCGGCGACCTGGGCGGGGTGGCCGCCCGAACCCAGCGCGATGCGGCTTGGTGGGGATTGCCCTCTGCGGGATCCATCCACCGCCCCGCCGGGGAAAGGCCGGGCGGCGCGTGGGAGGGGTCGCCGGCGCGACGTTGGCGAAAGGGCGAGGGGGGCGCCCGCGCTGCCCAGCAAGGGCGGGGGGGGGGGGCGGGGTGCGCTAGGCAGCGCAGGGGGCACCTCACACGGCGTCTGCCGTGGAGGCCGCCGTGGCCGCGGCCAGGCGGGCCGCTGCCACCCCCGCCCCTCCAGACAGGGTCTGAAGGCGCCGCAACACCGCCCGCGCGTTCTCCCTGTGCAGGGAGACGGAAAGTCGCTGGGCATGTTGGTCCGCAACCAGTGCGGCGTCTTCCCCCGTGGCGTCAGCCACCCGCTTGGCCAGGACCCCGAAGGCCCTGCGTGCCTCGCGGCCCCACCCGCCGCCGTGGGCTTCCACCACCATGGGGAGGAAAGTGAAGCCCTGTGCCGCGCAGAGCCGCGCGGTGTCCTGGTGCTGCCTTTTGAACTCCTCGTACCGCTCCGTCGCTGCGCTTGACGAAGCGGCCGACGCGGCGAGGAGATCGGCGCGCAACCCTGACGCGGCGGCAAAGTCCCAGGCGGCCGCCGTGCCGTTGCGCCACCGCGGCAGGTAGACGTCGGCAGGGCGGCGGCCGTTGTCGTCCACCTGGGACCCGCCCTGCTCGCCCCCGGGGGTGGCCTCCCCGGCGGGGCGCGCGGGTAGCAGCCCCGGGCGCTCCAACTCCGCCCCGGCGTGGCCGGCGGCCAGGGCGTCGAAGAAGGCCTGGTTGCGCAGGGCGTCGTGGCATTTGGTCCGGTCGCCGCGGCAGGCGCAGACCAGGGCGCGGTCGCAGAAAACGTCCACCACCTCGCCACAGGCTGGGCAGAAGCACTCCTCCTGCAGGAGCTGGACTCGCAGCCGCCTCTGCAGGCCGACCTGCATGAGGCCGCGCGGGAAGGCGGCGCCGGTGGCCTCGCAGGGCGGCGCCTGGAGCCACGCGGCCGCGCCTGGGGCTTGCACCAGAGAGAGGTGCGCCCTGCCGGCCAGGGTGGAGCCCGCCAGAAGTCCGTCGAGCGAGGCGCTGCCAGCCCGCGTCGGAGAGGGCCTTCTGGTTGCAGTGCTGCGCGTGGTCGAACACCACCCGGTCGGCGTCCCGCACGACTGCGTTGCGGGCCTGCACCGCAGCCGCCAGGCTACCTCCGTCGCGGTCGGGGTTGTTGGAGTAGCCGGTAGTCGGGACCTGCCGACAGAGGTCGGCGCTCTTCGCTCTGGAAGCGACGTAGGCGGCGGCGGCGTGCTTCGCGGCAGAGCGCAGGCCAAGTCCTCCCTTCCTGAGCTTTAGCTGAGCCTGCTGCCAAGAAGCGTCGGAGGGCGAGCAGCCGCTCAGTTGCTCAAGGCAGGCCCGGACAGCGTCGCCCATGGCCAGCAGGGAGGCGGCGCGCGCGGTGGGCGCCACCACGCGCGCGGAGTAGCCCAGCTTGCAGGAGGAGGCCCACTGGCGCAGGAGGTGCAGCGCGACCTGCGCGTTTTCGAGCTCCCCCAGAGCTTCCAGCAAGTCGGTGGCGCTCGCGACCCGCTGCTTGGCGTGCTCCGCGCAGAAGACCGCGTCTCCCACTGGCGCGCCGAGCAGCTCGAAGCTGCGATCGGTGCGGAGGCGGAAGCCCGGCGGGAAGCCGTCCAGAGACACGTCGGAGGCGTCTCCGCCAGTGGGGACCACCTCACACTTGCCCGGGCCGGTGCTCAGCTGGAGGCCCACCGCGGCAAGGCTGGCCACGAGCAAGTGGAGGAGGCGCGCGACGGCCGGCGCGTCGCCCGCGAGGCAGCCGTCGTCCAAGTAGAAGAAACTCAGGTCGACGGCGCCGTCGGCGCCGTGGCGCGGCGCGCGAAGGGCGGCCTCGGCGGCGCGCTGTAGTGCTAGGGAGAACAGTAGGGGCCCCAGGGGGTCGCCCTGCTGCACCCCGCACTCGGAGCGGACTGTCTGATTGCCCAGGAAGAGAGTTGATGGGCGGGAGTAGCACCAGTCGGCCCAGGGTGCCAGCCCGGGAAACTCTTCGTGGACCGCGCGGAGCAGAGCCTGCCTGTCCAGGGTGTTGAAGGCGTTAGACAAGTCCAGCTTCACAAACACCTTTCCCCGGTCCCCGAGGTGGCGGGTCCACCACTGGCGCGCGACGTGCACCGCCGCCTCGGTGCCGCCAGGGACCGCGACGCCGATCTGGAGGGGAGCCAGTCGGTCGCGCGCGGCGCCGGCAACCTCGTGGCAGAGGCACTTGCCGACGAGGCGCCGGAGCACCTCCCCGACGGCAACAGGGCGCAGGCCTCCGTCTTTCTTCGGCAGGGCCACGAGAGAGGCGCCCGCGAAGTACTCGGACACGGTCGGCGGGGCCTGCCCCCTGGCGCAGAGGTTGACAAGGTTCCGGAGCTGGTCGGTGACCTCGTCCCTCTGGGCCGCGTTGAGCAGTGCGTCTTTGAGGTGTTGGGGTCGGAGGCCCGTTGGCCCGGCGGCCGAGCCCGGGGGGAAGGCCCGCACCTCCCTACGGACCGCGTCCCCGTCCATCTGCAGGGCAGCAGCCGCGTGGACAGCCAGAAGGCTGGCGGGATCCACAGCTTGGCGGCTGCGCGGGTGCTTCCGGCTCATCTGTTCGACGACGTCGGGGGTGACCTCCACGGGCGGCTCGCTGGTCAGAGCCGAGCAGCTCTTGGAGTACTGGGCGTCTGCGGCGAGCTGCACGCACCTCTCCGCTCGCTGGGAAGCTTGCGAGGCGTGCTTGGCAGCGCGAGCCTCGACTGCCTCGGCCCACAGGGAGGCCCGCTCCCCGTCCAGCCAGCGCCGGCACAGCGCCTTGGTCTGCGCTTCGCCGGCCGCCCTGCTGCCTCGGCCGCCACGGGTGTGAGGGCGCAGGACGCATTTCGGGAGCATCGCAAGCTCTGTCCACGCAGCCTCGGAGTTGTTGTGCACGGTCTGGGCCACCGTCTGCACTAAGCACCGTGCCCAGAGGTCCCGGGCGCCCTTCGGGACGTAGCGCTTGGTGGTGGAGCGCTTGGAGAAAGCTTCCCGGAGGGAGGGGAGACCCGCGGGCTCGCTGTGCGGTTGGCCGCCAGCGGCGGGAGCGGCGGCTGACACGGCTGCGGCCGCGCGCGCGGCAGGGCGGCAACGCGGGCAGATGCCGCCGAAGCGCGTCGACAAGAACCGTTGGCAGACCGAGCATTGCTCCAACCGGTGCTCTTGCAGGTACTCGGGCGGGACTGGTGGCAGCCCAGGGAACCGCCCGGCGGCGTGCTCGTTCAGGTGCGGGCGCATGCTTTGGTCCCCCCAGCCGGCGGAGGACGCGGGGGGGACAACTGGATTGCAACTTCTGATTGCTCATTTGGTTGCCCGTGTCTGCCAGGATTTGATGTTTCTCTGGTGTCCCAAATTCCCCAATCAGTGTTTGCACTGAAGAGGTCCTCGCAGAAGTTGAAGGATTTGGCGAACGTGTCCCGCCGATGTGGGTCGCGCGCTGGGTTCCCGGGTTCCCGATTTCGGGTTTCAGGGTTCCCAGTTCGGGGCACCCTTTTTCTCCATCGATTTTACCGTCGACCTCACTATCGATCTCATTATCGATGTCACGAGCGATCTCATTAGAGATCGCATGAGCTACCTCGCGATCGATCTCACTACCGATCTCATTGAATCGATTTCACTGTCTGTGTGGCACAACTGTCTTACTGGATCGATGATTAAACTGGCATCCTACTGCCTGTGTGCAGGAAAGGAAGCAGGCGTGGCAGAGTCAAAGAGCATGTGAACTCCTCCCCCCTTACACATGAGATCCACCTCCGCCCTTCAAAGCCTGCACCTCCAACATCTCGAATCAAGGATAATCAAAACTACCGAACAATATGTGCCGTCGATGTCACTGCATGGCTGCTCATTATCGCGTGCACGCGTGAGGTAAAACTTCGCGTGGCATCCTACTGCTTGTGTGCAGGCAGGCAGGCGTGGCAGGGTCAAAAAGCAGGTGATTTCCCCCCCCCCTTTCTCATACAATCCCCCTCCAACGTCCACAGCCTCCTCCTCCAACATCCCTAATCAAGAATAGTGAACACCACCGGAAAATGTGTCGTCGATGTCGCTGCATGGCTGCTCAATATCGAATGCACTCGCGAGGTTAAAACTTCGCGTGGCATCCTACTGCTTGTGTGCAGGCAGGCAGGCGTGGCAGGGTCAAAAAGCAGGTGATTTCCCCCCCCCTTTCTCATACAATCCCCCTCCAACGTCCACAGCCTCCTCCTCCAACATCCCGAATCAAGAATAGTGAACACCACCGGAAAATGTGTCGTCGATGTCGCTGCATGGCTGCTCAATATCGAATGCACTCGCGAGGTTAAGACTTCGCGTGGCATATGGATGCAAAGCACTGCCTCGCAAAACGATCTACGAATGAGAAAGCCAGTCATGAGTCTGTCTCAACGGCATCCCTCCGTAAAGCATAGTGCTGGAAGAAGTCGGTCTTACGTCTATGACAAGGACATCCCCCAACAGCATCCACGCACGCAATATCGAGACAAACACTGCTTGCGTGCACGCGCGAAGTGAAATGTTTCGACTAGCTTCAACCTCCTCCTCCTCCCCGCGCCGCCCCCCTCCTTGCGAACACGTCCAGAACCTCGAGCGTCGGCTGGAGGCCTGGGAAAATCTGCCGAAGAGGCCGTGGCGCGGGCGATGTCGCCCGGCGCTCCAGGCGGAGCGCGCTGTCACGCAGGGGCCCTGGCGGAGTAGAGGCCCATGCTGTGTCGCCTGCGCCCAGCGGCGGCGGCGGTCCTGAGCGCACAAAACCCAGGTGGCGCGAACCTGTAAACCCGGTGCTGTCGGGCCCAGGCCAGTGTGAGCCCGATGCAGTCATCCTTTCCCCCGTCCTCTTCCTCCTCCACTTCCAGCCTCCCCGTGCCAGTTCGTCACCCGTTCTCGTCGCTGGGCTCCCATGGATGGCAAAAGGGCAAGTGCATCGACCACAAGTTACACATCCCATGCTTCGCCAACCCCGGCCCAGGCCCACTCTCCCGCCCAGGGGCGCGGCAGTCGGGGGCGACGACGGGGGCGAATAGCCTAAGGGAGAGCAACACGTGTACAGTGGGGCACAAGCCAGAAGAGCACCCCTCAAGAACACACAGGCGCATCCAGCTTATATCTTATACCTCGGTCTGATCACGCCATGCAGCAATGCCACAGGAGACGCATTGAAGAAGGGGAATAGAAGGAGGATTGCAAGCATATGGTAAGGAACACCATGGCGTGCCAGCTTATCAGCGATGCAGTCAGCAATTCGCAAAGAGAACAATTACTATTAGGTTCAGACCTGTAGAACTCAGCAGCGTGTCTAGTCTAGGTAGGCACCTCCCACAATGCGCACCGATGCAGCCGACTCGCAGCCACAAGTGGCCTGCCGCAACCCAACTCGGCCAGTGTGCTGGCCGCGGGTTGCTGTGAGGCCGCACTCTGACTGCGACCGTGCCGCACGTCCACCGATGGATGGTCACACCACACTGCACAGGGTGAAAACAAAGAAACAAACAATGCCATACGTGTGACCTTTAAAAGGGCCCAGGGACACACAAAGAAAGACACACGAAAACCAACATGCCCAATATTTTCTCATCTGTTCTGGATGAACCTTCTCCTCCCCCGTGCCCTCCTTGGTCCCACGTGCGGGCGAGCAGGGGCACCCACGCCGCGCGCAGGGCCTCAGCCCTCGGTGCGCGTGGAAGGGAAGCCCTTCTTGGGGGACGAGGCCTTGGGGCGCTGCGCGAGGGGCGGAGACAGGATCTGGCCGAAGAACCACGCGGGCGGGAAGCGGGCCTCGAAGAACATGCCCCCCTGCTCTTGCCCGGCGCCCTCCAGGCCCCACTCGGCGATGTGGGCGGGCGGCAGCGTCGCCTCGAGGACCGGCAGGATGTCGAAGCGGTGCCGCCGGACTTCCTGCAGGGCGGCCTGCAGCTCTACCCTGGCGGCCTTCTGGAGGTCGCGGAGGGCAGAGGACGTCTCCACGCCCTCGTCCGACACGGGCTTGCCGGTCACGGCCGCCACGTGCCCAGGGTTGTCCTTGATGTTTTTGGCGTAGATGGGTACGGACGCGAACGCGGCCCCTGTCTGCTTCCCGAGGGGCATCGCGTGGATGACCCAGTCGAGGCTAATCTTCACGCCGTGGAACACCGCGGACCACTCCCTCGAGAGCATCATGCTGCTCTCGGTTGCGTGGTGGTCTATGAGGCGGTGGCCCTTCCTGCACGACGCCTCCCCGTCGAAGCAGTACACGCTGAAGGGCAGCAGATCGTCCGCCAGCAGCTTCACGCCCGCCTCCCGCATGCGCCGCAGCACGGGCAGCAGCGTCCTCGTCAGGCGCTGCGAGAGCGAGCCCTGCTCGCCGAACAGCCTCTTGAACTGCAGGTCCTGGGTGTACTCCGTCAGCTCGAAGACGATCCGCCCCGGCGCGCGGCGGGTGGCGTCGAGCACCAGGCTCTGGACCTCCGGCAGGAGCCACTCGGACGGACGCACGTTCACGCTGATCGGCGGCAGGCTCGGGAAGGTCTCCAGGGCGTCCAGGGCCGCCTGGACCTCCAGCCCCTTGAACTGCAGGTAGAGGTCGATGTCGGTGTCGAGCAGGTCGTCGAGCACGTCCACCACGAGGCCGACGCCCCAGGAGGCCGTGTGCAGCGCCAGGAGGCTCTCCAAGCCAACGAGACGCGACTGCCCCTTGTCCTCGCGCACCTCCCACATCGGCTGCAGGCCAAACGAGAAGAGCCTCCCCGACTCGTCTGTTGCGTAGGCCACCTCGGCGGGGGACCTCCCGTCGCCGATGTCCTTGAGCATGCCGCGGAGAGCAGCGACGAACAGCTCTCGCTTCTCGTGCAGCGGCATCTTGAACAGGGGCTGCGCTAGCTGCATGGGCTGGTAGACGCTCCTGGTCAGCACATCCGGGCACTGGTTGGTCACCGCCTCGAAGAGCTGCCTCTGGTTCAGCAACGCCATCGTCGGATCGCGCTCTCCTCTCGCGGGCGCCATCTCTTCGGCCCACGCGGGGCCGCAGTCAAGGCCTGAACAGAAGAAGGACTTGAGCTTGAGCCAAAATGGCT